TCCTCCTCCTCCTCCTCCTCCTCCTCCTCCTCCTCCTCCTCCTCCTCCTCCTCCAGGGCGTGGGGCCTGGAGACCCACCAGGTCAGCGTTGGAAGCCCCCTTCTCTTGCTTCCTCCTCTTCATCTCATCCTGGTACAGCTGCAGGGAGAGTCCGTGATCGCACTGGTGGCCTTTGCTGGATTCAGAGGACTCCTACCAAGAGAACCGGAGTGGGCATCACCCAGGTGCCCACTTCATTGACGGACAGTCCCCGAGGTAGAACCACAAGTGAGCCCAAAATTTCTGGGGCTCCCCGTTGCCTGACCTTTCTTGCCACGGCTGCTAAGGGAATCACTACACTTTTTAAGAACACGGTTGTTCAGTGAATCTGGTTTCCCCCCCATTGACGCAAAAAGGGATCATGTGACCCCCGGGACACTGCGACCGTCATAAATACGAGTCATTTGCCAGGCATCCGAATTTTGATCACGTGATTTTGATCACGTGACCCTGGGGATGCTGCGGCGGTCGTAAGTGTGAACAACGGTCGTAACTCCCTTTTTTCAGAGCTGTCGTAACTTTGAACGGTCGCTAAGCCAACTGTTGTAAGTCGAGGGCTACCTGTGCATAAAAAATAGTGGTACCCTGAATTTTTAAGTGAGTGGATTTGAGGGGCCCTGACGCAACCCAACCCTTGTTCTGCTGTGGTGCTCCGTTGCGGGTAACCGAAGGTGACACACAAAGTTTTAGTAGTAATTGGACTATTTGATTCAAGTTACCAATATTTGGAGAGCCACCAGGGGGCAGCAGGGGGCTTCAGAGAAGTCCTCCATAGACTATTTTGGCAGCCTGTTTCCTGCTAAACTAGAATAGAATAGAATAGAATAGAATAGAATAGAATAGAATAGAATAGAATAGAATAGAATAGAATAGAATAGAATGGAATAAAGGATAGAATGGAATAAAGGATAGAATAGAATAGAATAGAATAGAATGGAATGGAATGGAATGGAATGGAACGGAACGGAACGGAACGGAACGGAACGGAATGGAATAGAATAGAATAGAAAATATGGAATGGAACAAACGGAACAGAACAGAATAGAATAGAATAGAAAATATGGAATGGAATAGAATGGAATAGAATAGAATAGAATAGAATAGAATAGAATAGAAAATATGGAATGGAATAGAATGGAATGGAATAGAATAGAATAGAATAAAATAGAAAATATGGAATGGAATGGAATGGAATGGAATAATAGAATAGAATAGAATAATAGAATAAAATAGAAAATATGGAATGGAATCGAATGGAATAGAATAGAATAGAATAAAATAGAAAATATGGAATGGAATGGAATGGAATGGAATAGAATAGAACAGAACAGAACAGAACAGAACGGAACGGAATGGAATGGAATGGAATGGAATAGAATAGAATAGAATAGAAAATATGGAATGGAACAGAACGGAACAGAACAGAACAGAACAGAATAGAATAGAATAGAAAATATGGAATGGAATAGAATGGAATAGAATAGAATAGAATAGAAAATATGGAATGGAATAGAATGGAATGGAATGGAATAGAATAGAATAGAATAGAAAATATGGAATGGAATGGAATGGAATGGAATAATAGAATAGAATAGAATAATAGAATAGAATAGAATAGAATAGAATAGAATAGAATAGAATAGAATAGAAAATATGGAATGGAATGGAATGGAATGGAATAGAATAGAATAGAATAAAATAGAAAATATGGAATGGAACGGAACAGAACAGAACAGAACAGAACAGAACAGAACAGAACAGAACAGAATAGAATAGAATAGAGCTGGGAGAGACCTTGGAGGTCTTCTAGTCCAGCCCCCTGCCCAAGCAGGAGACTATATACCATCCTGGATAAATGGCTTTTCAATCTTTTCTTGAAGACCTCCAACGATGGAGCCTCCACGACTTCTAATGGAAAGCCATTCCACAGATTAATTGTTCTTGCTGTCAGAAAACATCTCCTGAATTCTAGGTTGAATCTCTCGTCGGTAACTTTCCACCCGTTACTTCTTGTCCACCCCCCTCACCCCCCAATTCTGTTGTTGTGGCAAAACTGGGGCCCCAGAACAAGCAGCCAACTCACCTCGCTGTGCGAATGTCCCAAGAGGATGAAGAACTTCTCCAGCAGGAAAAAGAGGTAGAGACCCCCTAGCACGGCCAGGAGCTTCCAGAGTTTGTCTTCACCTTCAGGTCCATGGTGGGCGTGGGCATCGTCCCCTCCGTGGGAGTGAGAATGGAGGCCCAGGAACTGAAACGAGAGTGGTGGTCCCAGTGTCATTGCAGCCTCAAACCGAAGGACAGAGGGGTCTTTCAAAGCAAGCGGATCACGAGAGGGTTGGGTCTGGCAGAGCTACTCATTACACTTCCGTTCCATTTCTGCACTGCCCAGATAGTCCTCGAGAAACGAATGGAGCCTGCCCATCACGAGAGGTGGGGTCTGGCAGAGCTACTAGTTACACTTCCACTACATTTTTGACCTTCCCAAATGGAAGTGGACCTTGAGATACAACCGTAATGGAGCCTGCAGCAAGGGGTGACCTCCGTTAAGCGAGAAACGTCCAGAGATCTTCCAAAGATGAGTGTGCAATGGGTGACGGGCATGTGGCAGGTATTTCCAAGGCCCACGGGGGTCCTAGTGGGGCGGGATGGAGGGGGAGATAGGGGGCAGGGGGCACTGCAGCATCCCTGTGGTGGGTTGTAAGGGTCAATGACTGGGGGCACCACAGTCCCCATAACTTCAAAACCGGGTCATAAGTAGCTTTTTTGGGGGGGGTCTGTTGTAACTTCAAACGGCCGTTAAGTGACCGGTCGTATCTAGAGGACTACCTGCACAGCACCCTTCTCAAATATTTTGGGGGATGAACAAAGCTGTATTAGACCTAGAGATAGGAAGGCCTGAGAAAAAAAGTGGAAAAATTGAGGAAAAAACTAGTTTTTTCTTACATTTCTTTCCTTTCCCCCCCCCCCAAGCCGTTTGGAAAAAAAAAATGGGGGAAAAAACCCTGTTTTTCCCCCCAATTTTTTCACTTTTTTTTTTCCAGCTCCCACCCCCCTGCCCAGAACCCTACCCTTTCTTCTCACACCCACCTATAGGGAGTCCTCGGCTTACGACCATAACCAAGTCCAACATTTATGTTGCTAAGTGAGACATTTGTCAAGTGAGTTTTGTACCGTTTTACGACCTTCCTTGCCACAGTTGTTGAGTGAATCACTGCGGCTGTTAAGTTAGTAAAACGGTCGTTAAGCGAGTCCGGCTCCCCGTCGACTTTGCTTGTCAGAAGTTCCTAAAAGGGGTCACGTGACCCCCCCAGGGGACGCTGCAACTGTCGTAAATGTGAGTCAGCTGTCAAGCGTCTGAATTTTGGTCACGTGACCTGGGGGTGCTGCGACGGTCGTAAGTGTGAAAAACGGTCATAGGTCCCTCTTTCTGAGTGTCGTTGTAACTTCAAACGGTCGCTAAGCGAACGACTGTAAGTCGAGGACTATTATCCGTCTCCCTTTTCACGCCCAGAGTTCCCACCTTCAGATGGGAGGGACCAAGCGGGCTGCAGACCCCCACCTGATCCAGCCCTTCGGGGGAGGGCCCAAACCGTGACCTTCCCCCAAACCTTTGGGTCCCCCTTTCAGGTCCCCTGCTCCCCCCCCCGGCACGGACCTTGGGGATGAGGTGCAGCATGGCGTCCCCGGTGAGCGATCCCACGGCCAGGCTGACGAAGGTCTGGATGACGTATTGGTAGGCACTGATGCAAGCCGTGCAGAGCAGAACCACGATGCCGAAAAGGGCGCACAAACACACCACCAGCGTGGCCAGCGTGCCGTAGATGTACTCTGGGGAAGAGGGAGGAGATAGAGGAACAACTTAAAAAAGCAGAATAGACTGGACAAGATTAGACTAGACAAGACTAACTAGACTAAACAAGACTCGACTCGACTAGACTAGACTAGATTAAAGAAGACTAGACTAGACAAGACTAGACAATATTAGACTAGACAGGACTAGACTAGACCAGACAAGACAATATTAGACAAGACAAGATAGTCTAGACTAGACTAGACTAAAGACAATATTAGGCTAGACTAGACTAGACTAGACAAGACTAGACAATATTAGACTAGACAGGACTAGACTAGACCAGACAAGACAAGACAATATTAGACAAGACAAGATAGTCTAGACTAGACTAAAGACAATATTAGACTAGACTAGACAAGACTAGATTAGACAATATTAGACTAGACAGGACTAGACTAGACCAGACAAGACAAGACAATATTAGACAAGACAAGATAGTCTAGACTAGACTAGACTAAAGACAATATTAGATTAGACTAGACTAGACTAGACTAGACTCGACTACACTAGACTAGACTAGACAATATTAGACTAGACAGGACTAGACTAGACCAGGCAAGACAAGACAATATTAGACAAGATAGTCTAGACTAGACTAGATTAAAGACAATATTAGACAAGACAAGATTTGACTATAGACTAGACTAGACTAGACAATACTAGACTAGACAGGACTAGACTAGACTAGACAAAACAAGACAAGACAATATTAGACAAGGCAAGACTAGTCTAGACTAGACTAAAGACAATATTAGACTAGACTAGACAAGACAAGACAATATTCGACTGTAGACTAGACTAGACAATATTAGACTAGACAAGACTAGAGTAGACTAAACAAGACTAGACTAGACCAAACCAGACAAGACTAGACTAGACTATAGACAAGACTAGATTAGACTAGATTAGACTAACTAGACTAGATTAAAGACAATATTAGATTACACTAGACTAGTCTAGATTAGATAAGACAATTTTTGACTAGACTAGACAATATTAGACTAGACTAGACAAAACTAGGCCAGGCTAGAACAGAAGAAGAGAACACAGAACAGAACAAAACAGAGAGAACAGAATAGAAAACACCGAACAGAACAGAATAGAATATAGAAAACAGAACCGAACAACACAGAATATAGAAAACTGCACAGAACAGAGAAAACAGAGCAGAACAGAATAGAACAGAAAACAGAACAGAATAGAAAAAAACAATAGCGCAGAACATAGAAAACAGAACAGAAGAGGATGTAGAACACAGAATAGAACAGAAAAGAACAAAATAGAATAGAAAAATCAGAAAAAAGAAAAGAAAAATAGCTTTATTTGGCCGAGCAATTGGTCTCCGGTACAGAAGCACTCAGCGCACTTGCAAAATGTGTAATTCAAAGTGTGTGTGTGTGTGTGTGTCACCAAAACGTTCACCCCCCATGCCAGAAGGGGTCAAGGGTGATTCCAAAGAGATGTCCTTCTCCTACGTGCCTCAGGAGGCTTCTTCATGGGGTGGTCTGAGCGTTTCCTGGCGAGATAAGCCTCCTGGTCACCTCCACCTTGGTTAAACCTTCAGAGGTCCACCACTCCTGACCTTCTGACCAGCATCGACCAGGCCTGACCTGAAGGTAGAAGCTCCGAGGTCTTCTAAGCAGCGGAATAACCGAAGGGAGATGCCCCACGGGAGACCTCCAAGACAGATGGTTGATTCTGGCGGGAGCCATTTTCCTGAGCAGCTTGACAACTTGAAGACCGGTGGACTTCAACTCCCAGAATTCCCCAGCCAGCGTATGCTGGCTGGGGAATTCTGGGATTTGAAGTCCACCGGTCTTCAAGTTGCCAAGGTTGGACCCGCCCGTGGTTGAGAAAGGACTGAGGCAGAGAAGGGATGGACTCACTCTCGGCCGTGGTGAGGCGCCCGTCTTCTGGAACCTTCCGAGGGGCCGTGCAGGCCTGGCTGAGCTTCTGCTGCACCAGAGCTGGGCTCAGGCGGGTGAAATCTGGGCGGCTGATTCCGGCGGCATCGTCAAGCTCATAAATCTTGAAGAGGTCGCTGGGGCTGAGGCAGACCTGGAAGGAGACAAAGAGGTCCTTGAATGAGCAGCTGTTGGCTTTTGGGGGGGAGGGAAGGGCTCTGGGCAGTGGCCTGTAGGCCGTGGGAGTGGAGGGGCTTGACCGCCAGGCTGGAAAGTGCAGCCATCTTGGATCTGGGCTAAGACAGCTGCAGGAAGGGGCAGTCCTGTTTTTCTCCCTCTCGGGTGCCAACCACACGAACCCAGCTCTCCTCATGGCTGAGGGTTACGTGGTGGACCATCCCTATCAGGCTGGGATGGGGCAGGGAAGAGCTGGCATAATTTCCACTTAGAAGAATAGAAAATAGAATAGAAAATAGAATAGAAAATAGAAAATAGAAAATAGAAAATAGAAAATAGAAAATAGAAGAGAAGAGAAGAGAAGAGAATAAGAAATAGAGTAGAGTAGAGTAGAGTAGAGTAGAGTAGAGTAGAGTAGAGAATATGGAATGGAATGGAATGGAATAGACAATAGAATAGCATAGAATAGAACAGAAAGTAGAATAGAATAGAACAGAGCAGAACAGAATAGAATAAGGAATAGAATAATAATACAATAGAACAGAAAATAGGAATAGGAATAGAAAAGAATAGAGTAGAGTAGAGTAGAGTAGAGTAGAGTAGAGTAGAAAATATGGAATGGAATAGACAATAGAATAGCATAGAATAGAACAGAAAGTAGAATAGAATAGAACAGAGCAGAACAGAATAGAATAAGGAATAGAATAATAATACAATAGAACAGAAAATAGAAATAGAAATAGAATAGAATAGAACAGAATAGAATAGAATAGGAGTTGGAAGGGACCTTGGAGGTCATCTAGTCCAATCTCCCGCCCATTTCCTCCCTCCCTCCCTCCCGTCCTTCCTCTCTCCCTCCCTCCCGCCCTCCCTCCCTCCCTTGTATGACTCTGGCAGTGTTGAAGGAGAGCCAGCCTCACCGTGTCCCAGATGTTCTGGTGGGCGTCATGTTCTTCCAAGCCAGCAGGGCTTCGTTTTGAGCGCACCGGAGAACTTTCACTTCTGTTTCCATGGGGCTCCATGTGGTGGTGATCTGTTTCATTGCCGTGGTGATGGCCTGTTTCATCGCCATGGTGATGGCCTGTTTCATCAACATGGTGATGGCCTGTTTCATTGCCGTGGTGATGGCCTGTTTCATTGCCATGGTGATGGCCTGTTTCATCGCCGTGGTGATGGCCTGTTTCATCGCCGTGGTGATGGCCTGTTTCATCGCCGTGATGATGGCCTGTTTCATTACCGTGGTGATGGCCTGTTTCATCATCATGGTGATGGCCTGTTTCATTGCCGTGATGATGGTCTGAGTGATCTTCGTGGTCTCCATGATCATGGCCATCTGGGTGACTGTGTGTGGCATTTCCATGATCATGGTCATGCTCATCGTGTGTGTGTCCATCATGTCCATGGTCACTGTGGTCATGTCCCTCATGTCCATGGTCACTGTGGTCATGTCCCTCATGTCCATGGT